GACAGATGGAAGGAATGCTGGCACATTATATGATTTAAATAAAGTTTTGTTTAGCAAGGTGGCTATAAACCTCTGTTAACCAATTGATCATACACTGACTATAAAGACATAATATAGATCAAGGTAGTAACTACAGGCTGTTCTCCATATTTTACCCCACACGCCTTGCATATAGATTCAGATAAAACAGTGATCTGGCATCTCATTAAAATTACCTATGCGTCCTAGAACATGCCGAATTTACATCTTCTCACAACCAGTGGAATAAAAAATTAGTCTTGGATTATTGAGGTGAATTTGTAATCACAACATTTCAATCAGATTTGTTCATGAGGATATCACAAATTTCATGTCAATACGAAATATTAATTAAAGGTAAGACTATCAATATACCGAGATAATTATATGAGTTAACCATGGCCAAGTTATAATTTGATTTTGATTTAATGCTTAATGCTGCCTTATCAGTATTTAAGAACAATTGTATTTATTTATAAAAAAAAATAATTTCTTTCAACCACTATGAAATTCTGTTGTATTTTAATAGAACGCTTAGTTGTGGGATGTGGACAGACCTAACCTGCTCCTCTTTCACGGTGACCAGATAATGAACTCTTTATGCACAAAAAATTGAAAGAGATGCTTAGACCCAAACCACTACAGCTTAATGCAGTGGTGCCAAGGTGCTGCTCCTGCCGTTTTACAATTGTAAGCATTGCTGTTTTTAAAGAAACTGCAACATTTGTGTGGGGCAGTTACTATATCAATCAGCCACTTGAGGCACTTCCTCAATTTTTTAAATTTAAGTTAAAGTTTAAGTATGCTGTTAATGCTTCTCATAGACAATCATTCAGTTTAATCCTTCTCCATAAAAGGCATCGGATTGACTAAACACAGCCAGTAGGGTCCCAATACATCTCTTTAACCCCTTAAGGACACATGACATGTGTGACATGTCATGATTCTCTTTTATTCCAGAAGTTTGATCCTTAAGAGGTCAAGAAGCATTCGATTGGCCCTTGACCATCAATTAGGATGATCTCACAGCATGAGGAGTGCTGCAGTGTCAAGACTGGGACAGAGTTTAATAAAAAGGTGAGTTTACCAGCATTTTTTTGTTTTACATAAGGGAGCACAATAATCTAAAACAAGAGAGGGTCTTTATTTAGAATGTAAACTCTGGAAATTCCATATGTAATTTGTAGAGTGTGGGAAACAGAATTTTACACACTGTAAATACAGGCTGTTCAGTGAACATCTAAAAAACAAAATTCAGAACTGTGATGCCTGACACACACAATTGAAGTTTTACTTTCATATGCATTTGTGCATTAACAAATTAGATCAATTAATTTAAAGGAACACTCCAGACCCCAGGTAAGAAGTCAAGCCGTCCAATAAATTGTGTTTTATTTTTTCAGTGTTCCTTATATAGGTCTATGTAATAAAGCTTTTTTGTGCAGTTACCTTGGAGTTCTACTGCCACTTCCTGCCTTCTATCTCCACTCCTGATTGGGTTGTTTGTCCTCGCATTTATAGGCACCCTGGAGCCTTCTTTATAGAGCCTGATATGCATCTATACTTGTGAGTTCTATCCTACATATTTTGTTTGTGCAATTTTATTTAACAGTGAGCTCTATGTTCTACTTTTTTTTTTTTTTTTTTAAATATGTGGCTCATCCGGACTACTAGCATTAGTATGCTCGGTGCTTTCCCTGATGGTTTAAAGGGACACTCCAGTGCCAGGAAAACAAACCGTTTTCCTGGCACTGCGGGTACCCTCTTCCTCCCACCACCCATCCCATGTTGCTGAAGGGGTGAAAACCCCTGCAGTGACTTACCTAAGACCCCCCCGCCGATGTCCCACGTCATCCGGCGGGGGAGACTGATCGCGCATGTGCGGCCGCCGGCGGGGGAGACCTAATGCGCATGTGCATTAAACCTCTCCATAGGAAAGCATTGAAAAAATGCTTTCAATGCTTTCCTATGGGGAATTGAGCGATGCTGGAGGTCAGGACCTGTGCTAGAAACCAGGAAGTGCCCTCTAGTGGCTGTCTAGTAGACAGCCACTAGAGGAGGAGTTAACCCTGCAATATAAATGTTGCAGTTTATGAAAACTGCAATATTTACAGCTGCAGGGTTAAGGGTAGTGGGAGTTGGTACCCAGACCACCCCAATGGGCAGAAGTGGTCTGGGTGCCTGGAGTGTCCCTTTAAGATCCATTTATTGTTTATAGGTCTCTTAAATTGCCTGGTAACTGACCTTAATGGATACTTTAGTGATTGTGAAGAACAAGAGTAACATGCCATGAAGACTTTTGAGCACATAACTTGGTTAAAAATCCTCTTCTTATGTATCACCCTCAATTAAAGAAAGGAAAAACAACACAGTTAGTTTTCTTGCCCCAACAATTTAATATCAAATAACAATTGTTTATAATCTAATAACTGAACATAAATTCACTAACTAAATTTAAAAAATTTTTGTTATCCAACTTTACTCACACATACCAGACTTCTGTTCTTGGCTCTAAGTAAAGTTACAGAGGTTAAACTATTTATTTAAGATAATTATTTATTTAATAGCACAGCAAACCAGATACCACTTCAATTGTAATAACACATCTATTAAATACAACAAAATACCACATAGCAATAGCATAAAATGTAATTTTAAAAATATATATACATATATGTTAAAAGCAAGTTCAAATATATACAATTTTTTTGAAACCCATTTTATCTGATTAAAAGGGTATATATACCGTTGCTTATTATTGACTTCCTGGTATATTCTAATAGATGCAGTTTCTTGCAGAATATAATTTCATATATATCTTCTGATTGGCCATAACCTTGGCTTTTTTACCATCTTTTAAGCTATAAACTATTTGATTTATTAATATATATCTGCATACTTGTGAGGAAAATTCCCTGTAAGCACAGAAGCCACTACAGCATAAAGCAAGCACGTCAA